TGCCTCTAATGCGAACAACCCCTATTTTGCACTTACTTTCAACCATAAGAAATGTGAAGTCTCAAGTCCAAAATATTCAATAAAAGAAAATAAAGGGAATTTGAGAGATATGTTCACACTCATAAATTTGTTTGTAATAAAATGCCAAGTAAAATTTTCTCTTCACAAATGACAACTAAAATTACCACAATGAGGTGAATGGCTTATATATCAAAAGTAAAAATAAAAGTATATCAATTTTTTGGACACTTGAAAAGTATCATTAAACACAACCTCACACTTTCACTTCACCCATACCTTAACTCTGTGACCTCTCTACCACACAACTACCCTCACACACACAGTTTACACCCCATTAGTATAAGTTGAATAAAGAACAGAAGTGAGTAAGACTTTTGCTCATGTGGGTGTGAACCTGTTTAACAATTGCGGTTCATGATAACAATAGAAATTTGATGGGGTTGTTGTTTTTAGTTGTTTATGATTAATAAAGTTTACATAATTAATTAGCATTTGTCATCATGCAATTACCTTTTTCTATGTCCCATCATGCGAAAGAAACATGAACACCAATAGGAAAAACGAAATTTTTCCACCCATATAAAATACCTTTTGAGTCTTGACTATACTAATTCAAGTTGATTATCAGGACTTTTTTTATTTATTATTTCCATTTTTATACAAGATGGGTCTCCAAATGAAGCTGAATACCTGCACAACAAGGAGATGGCAACAAGTACTACAACTCGAGGAAAGACAAAGCAAGAAGCTCGAGCGAAGAAGAAGGAACGGGCACAAAGCCATGGTACAAGCTTTGGTAAAAGTAGGGATGTGGGTCTTGATCAAAATCATAGAAGGATCAACCCCTAACATATACTAATCAGTAATCTGTGTGTATTTGGATTTATTATTAATTTGCGCAGACAAGAAGAGGAAACTTTCCCGCATTTGAATGCCATGAACATCTGAAAGCTTTATTCTGAGCATGAAAAAGAACTAATAACGAAGAAATCTGACTTATTGATTGCCACAAAACAAGTCCATACAGAAATCTAGTTTTTCCTGCCCCATAACATGTGGTAGAGTCTTGACCTGCCCCATAAAATCTAGTTTTTCGCCAACTATTTATTTTTGTTCTTCTTAGTCGTGCCATTTTTTTCGCTCAAACTGCTTGCCTCATTTTTTGTTTTGCTTACTCACCATTGATAATAAAAGAAAAAAGAAGAAGCAATAACAAGAAGAACAAGAGAAGACCAAGAGGACCAAGAAGACCAAGAAGTAATGGTACGCTCGACTTGTTGTTGTACTTGTTGCCAACTTTGCTAATCCCAACACGCTCGCCTTTGTTTGCATAAAATGTATTGCCACAAATGTTGTGGTTTCGACCCCTCCTTGGTTGATGACATCAACACCACCTCCACCTTCTTCGTTGTAAGCATCATGAATCCCTAGTGGCCCAAGTCTCCACTTCCTTCCACCGCTCGCAAACCAAGCCTTGCAGCTTCAAGGGCCGCCCGAGTTCTCTTCCCAGGACCACCGAACTTCATCAAAAGACCCAGCAAGCCTTTGAGTTCCGTGCAGCGTCTAATTCCATCTAATTGGAATCAGATTAATTGACCACCCTCCTCATTCCTTCTTGTGCAGCTAATTGATTGGGTGAAACTTTTCATCCCATGCACGACAAAGGAGGACCACATGCCGGGCTAATTCAAAAGGGTGAGACACTTCGAAGTGACCATTGTTGTGTCCCATAATCATTCATATATACTTTTCATTGTATGATATTATAATCTATCCCAAATGTTAGGGACAGATTATGATTTTTACAAATGATCCGCCAGGGACAGATTATTGCTTTTTACAAAATTTTATGTAAATAATGCTAGGAATATTAAATTTGTGCTTTAAATTTGAGTCTCAAACAATTTGGCACGTGCCACGTAATAAAGTATTAAATAAGAATTCCAATTTGGGTTATAATTTAGTTAATTTCCTTTAAGAAAAAAAAAATTTAAAAACTTTATACATGCTAACCCTAATATTAATGTATCTTTGCTAGGGGTAAAGTCTCCAATTCTATACATATATGTAATGTGAGCCCATGAAATTTTTTGGAATTTTAGTTCAAGCAAATTTGTGGAAATGATGCGCTGGACTTGTAGTTCTTGTTGCCAAATGAGCCAATCCCAACACGCTCGCCGTTGTTTGGACGAATTCTATTGTCATCAATGTTGTAGTTTCAACCCTTCCTAGCATGCTTGATGCTCATCTCAACACCACCTCCCCTCCACCTTCATGATATTCGTTGTTGAAGTCTAAAATCCCAACGTCTTTGCCTTCTTGCGCCATGATTACATTCCTGTGGGGTCTCGTTGCTTTCATTAATATTTTTAGTTATTCTTTTTGGTTCTTAAAAACAAACCGTCTATGAAACATTTAATTGTCCAAAATGAATCTCTAGATTTATGGCTTGTATGTTAGTATGAAATTTGTATTGTCATTTCCTAGACTCTAGCATAGGTTGAAAATTAGTGTGTGAAGAATTGTTACTGGACGTTTTGACACCACTCCTTCAACCCCATATTCCGAGGCATGACTTCACTACTACAAAAATTGAAATAGACGACGGGAAACCACCGTCATGTAGAAGGTTTTCTAACCGTCGTGAAATCGACCGCCATCTTTTGTACAATCAACAATGACGGTTAATGACCGACGTTGTTAAGGAATTCAACGTCCATATTTATTACTAACTGACGTGTAATTACTATATAATTAGCCTAAAATGAAATCTCCGACAAAATTAGATGACGGTTTTATTAAAAACGAGACGTCTAAAGACTGTTACATGTCATGATCCAAAGAAGAACCGACGTACAAATAATTATCCACGTCTCTAAATGAAGGGAAAAAGACTTGGATAAGCTAGAAACCGTCGTGGTTAATATTTACTATGTTAATAAAAAAAAAAAAAACCACCGTGTGAACCATAAACAACGACGTACACACAAAACAACAGACGTTTAAAGAGTATCACATGTCATTTGTCTTTCAATAACCGCCGTAAAATAAAATAACTACGTCCTGCACCAGGCATCACCAACGCTTATGTATTTATCCACGTCGCGAAATATAATACAAACCGTCGTGTTAACTTGTTGACATGTCTGTTTTTTTCGAGATTCGTCGTTTAAATATAATAAAGAAGGCCCTTTAACAGAGGTAGACGTCACTTTTTCTAAATAACCGACGTCTAAAATATTTCAAATGACAAAATATTACTCAATATCAACGTACAAAACTCTCCCCACACGTCGGTTTATGTCAAGGGCTGACGTTATAAATAATATTTAAGGCGTGGATAGAAACATAACCGACGTTGATTATAGATTCAACGTTTGTTTCTTTAAAATAAAGGACGTGGTTAATTACTTCACTGCATCTGGAGATCCACCTGCTTGACGTTGTAATTACTTACCACGTCGGTTCTTATTACATAATGACGTGGTTGTCCTTTTAAAAGTCGCTTGTTTGACCTGCCGTGACGTATGTATGCGCGGAGATGTCAGTTGTTATAGACTAGCAAACTTGCAGAACATCTGTCACGACAGTTAATGGAACTGAAAGACCTTTATTTTGAGGTTTAGACGACGGTTTATTTTAAGCAAACCGTCTTGAATTTTTTTTTTAGATGTCTGTTTTTTTGTTTTACGGTTTGTTGCCTTTTGAAACCCGACGTTGGTTTTATATTAGACGTCTGTGTTTCCAATTTTTATCCCTGACCGTCGTACTTTACAGCTTTAACCAGCTTTTTTAATTTTTGATTTGTCTTGCCCAAAGCTTGCATAATGAAAATGTGATAAGAATTAAAATGTTGTACATAATTATTAATTAATGTCATACAATTAACTGAATAACTAAGCACTACTACAAAAAGTGAAAAAGACGACCAGAAAAAAACGACGGTTTAACGGAAAATCGTCGTTGTGTTTGAAAAGACGACGGTTTTATAAAACCGCCGTGTAAGAATAACTTAAACACCTAAAAAATGGGGAATTCAATGGTTGTTTTTAAAACACGACACACCTATATTAAAAAGCGACGTCTTATTGAAAAAGGTTTTCTTCAGAGTAAACTCGGAGCCCAAAAACAACGGCAGAAGGTATGAATCAACTGATGTAGAAAGTAAAGACGACGATTTAAAAAACAGCCACCGTCTTTTCTCTGCAATAACCATGACCAAGTTTTCGTATCTGGTGTCGCATAATTTCAAAAGAATCCACGGCGGTATATTACAAAATACCGCCGTCTAAAATACATGTACAATGACGTAAAATATAATTTTATTGACTTATTTCATGATCCATACTATGACGGTATCTTTAACTCTAACCACGTTGGTTTGTTCAATTAACAACGTGTAATAAAATTTGCTACGGCGTGAAGTTAAAATTACCGTCGTATTTATTCACTTTATACATCTACCCTTATACCTAAACGGTCGTCTTAATTACATTATTTTTTACTATTTATTTCTTAGATTTTGGTATCCTACGATGGTAGACCAACTTAATGACAATAACTGAGAATAACCACGACGCTTTACATAGAAAACCGCTGACAGAATAGATTTTTCTGAGATCAAAGATATACGTCGTGAAGTTAAAATTACCGTCGTATTTATTCACTTTATACGTCCGACCTTATATCTAAACCGTCGTCTTAATTGTAAAAAAAAAAATTTTTTGAATTTTGTCATCCTACGTCTGTAGATCAACTTAATGTCAAGAATTGAGAATAACCACGATGGTTTATATAGAAAACAGCCGACATAATTAGATCTGAGATCCCAAGAGTTACGAAATCTTACCAGATGGAACCCTGTTCTTCATCATAATCGGACCATAGAAAGGCAATATTTTAGAGGTTGATGATGTATGCGTCTTCGTGTCTTTGAAACACACGAAGGCACATACACATCAACATCAAAAAATTTGCCTTTAAAATTTGACGACGGCAGCCATAGATTTGCATTTAGAAAGGCAATTTTTTGGAAGTTGATGATGTGTGTGCGTTTGTTTATCTACATTAAGTTTCCCATTAAGTTCACTTTGAACCTGCAAATTAATCATATATACCTTAATTCAATCTAACATATAGAATGGAAGAAAATTAAAATTTGATGCATGTCATTCAATAACATATATATACCTTAAAGTGGAGACATTGAATGAAAGTGCTATTGTGCTTATCTTGCAGCCACATTGTTCTCTTTCTAAATTTTGGATAAGTGGCCTTGATGTGGATCATATGTTCACTACATTGACACCAAAAAATCAAGCATTATGATTCCTTGTATATAAGATAAACATAAGGAATGATAATGTTTAAAATGGCTCCATATGAAAAATAAAAGTCATACGTACTCGATATAAGGCAGGACTTCCTCCATATTCTCCAAGACATATAAATGTACCTGGTTTAACAAGTCCCGATCAACTAAGCTTACTATGCAACCTGATAATGGCTTCGAAACTCCCATCTTCTGGCTTGAAGGCACTCCAACTGTATTAACTTCAGATAAATGCTCGGTGCAAAACTCTATAGCTTCTTCAGCTATATACCGCTCAGCAATGCAACCTTCCGGACAAGTACGGTTCTAAACATACCCTTTTAGCACTTTCATATACCTTTCAAATGGATACATCCATCTAAAATATACTGGGCCACATAGACGAACTTCTCTGACAAGATGTACTACTAGATGAACCATGATATCAAAGAATGAAGGGGGAAAGTACTTCTCAAGCAAACACAAAGTAAATACTACATCTTCTTCCAACTTATCTAGCTTGGAAACATTCACCGTCTTTGCACATATAGCATTGAAGAAGAAGCACAATCGAGTTATTGCATACCTTGCAGGCTTCTCCAAAACATAACGAATTGCCACAGGGAGCAATTGTTGCATCAAGGTATGACAATCATGAGATTTAAGTCCAAGAAGTCTTGAATCTTTTAAAGATACAAGATTTTTTATATTTGAACAATAACCTTCAGGGACCTTCATACCATAGAAAGAATTGCAAAACCGCTCTCTTCTCTGCTCTTGACAAATTCCAAGGCCCCGGAGGCAAGCGAGTACGTCTTTGTCCATACTCGGGTTGCAAATCAGTTTTGACCCCCATGTTCAATAAATCTAACCGAGCAGCAATCCCATCTTTATTTTTTCCAGGGATCTCCAGCAATGTACCAATGATACTATCGCAAACATTCTTCTTAATATGCATAACATCTAGGACATGTCTCACATGAAGGTATTTCCAATACTCGAGATCAAAGAATTTTGATTTCTTCTTCCAACAAACTCTGTCACCATCATTCTCACCAACACTTCCCCTATTTTTCGAGCCCCATATGTAATTAATATCTTCAACAATGTGCAACACTTCTTCTTCGTTTAATGGCTTGGGAGGCGTGCCATATTCAGGTTTCCCATTAAAAGCTGCACGCTGCCTCCGATATGGATGATTGATTGGTAACCATTTTCTATGCCCAATGTAACAAATTTTGTGGCCATTTTTCAACCTGTGACTAGGTGTATCATCACTGCGTATTGGACAAGCTTTATATCCTTTAACAACACAACCAGATAAGTTCCCATAGGCAGGAATAATACACCTCTGAGTGTAAAGTATTCTCCTATATGTGCATCATACACTCCTCTAATCCCATCCCACAGAGATTTTAAATCATCAATCAAAGGCTCTAAGTAGACGTCTATATCATTTCCAGGCTGTTTAGGACCGAAAATTAATAAGGTCAACATCATGAACTTCCATTTCATGCATAGCCATGGTGGGAGATTATATGTAACTAAAATAACCAGCCAACAACTATATCTGCTACTTAAAGAACTGTGGGGATTGAATCCATCAGATGAGAGAGCCAATCTCAAGTTTCTCAGTTCTTTACCAAACACTGGCCATTTATCATCAACAAGTTTCCAAGACGGGGAATCCGCTGGATGAGACATTTGACCGTCAAATGATTTTCTAGCAGCGTGCCAAGTCAAACTCTTAGCTGTCTTATGTGATTGAAACATCCTTTTAAACCTTGGAATTGGAGGAAAATACCACACCACCTTCGCTGGCACACCCTCTTTCAAGATTGAATCTTTGTCTTCCTTCCACCTTGAGACACCACAAGTAGGACAATTAGTTGAATCTTCATAATCCTTCCTATACAAGATGCAGTCATTGGGACATGCGTGGATTTTCTCATAACTCATTCCTAAAGCAGACAATGTCTTTTTGGCCTCGTACATAGAGGAAGGTAGTGTATTTCCTTCTGGAAGCAAATCTCCTTGAAGTATCAATAATTCTGTAAAACAAACATCACTCATCCCATGTTTTGCTTTCAAATTATATAACTTCACCAAAGCCGACAACATCGTGTACTTACTGCTACCAGGGTAGAAGGGTTGATCTCCATCCCCAATCACATTGGCAAACTCATAAGGATCAAATCCAATATCGCCTAAATCATTATCATCCATCATGTAAGGATTGTAATAAATTGTATTTGGCTCTTCTCTTAGATCAAAACCAATGTATGTTGATTAGGAGTCTGCATAGTTTTCCAAGCTCGTTTAGGTTTATTAGTAAAGTCAGAATTTATCCAGTGATCTTTACAAGTCTTCATTGCTGTTCAAGATCAAAACCAATGTATATTGATTAGGAGTATGCATAGTTTTCCAAGCTAGTTTAGGTCTATTGGTGAAGTCAAAATTTATCCAGCGATCTTTACAAGTCTTCATTGCTGCTCAAGGTAAGTCTAATCATGCATTCACTCACGAATCATCATGCATACACTCAAACTAATTCACACGTTCTAAATTTTTATTTCGTATGTGATTTGTTTAAAATTGGGAATGTGATGTATTGATCTGTAAATACAAGAACCATACTTCTAATCAATACATAACTCCAAACAGATTATATCAAAATACACTTTGTGCTTTCTTTGGTCCTTGTGGTTTTGTTTAAGAAATGGCCAAAGGGAGAGATTGTAAGGATTATATTTTGGCTCTTCTCTTATGACAAAACCAATGTATTTTGCAAAGGTATAAATATTGGTTTAAGTCTGTTTGAATGCACATGCTAGATTCAAAAGTGTCATCTTTGCAATCCAAACTTAAATTCATTGCATACATTCACATGGGTTAATACACAGGATTGATACAAGCCTTAAAATCATTTTCCATTTCATTTTGTATCAATCCTTCCTAGTATGTTTTAATCCATCTTTCACTTTGCATTATGGATTGATATATGGGGATTGATACAACCTTTAAAAAACGTGTTCTACTGTATTCTGTATCAATCCTACATATTCTGTTTCAATCCACTTTGAGCTGTATCAATTAATATTTTATTAAAATATCTTCAGCTCTTGATTTCATTCGATGAAGACTTCTTAAATTGCTTATGGTGTCAATTAACTTCTTGAAACGTGTTTTCAAAAGCAAGAGTCTTGGATGAAGTTACCCCATGTTTATGTGACCACAACATTTTATTATAATATATTCTTTCTTTCTTGAAACTAGTTTTCTCCAAAAGAAGTCTTTATATTATCTTGCACATGGGCTACTTCTTTTATTTCTTGTGGAGTTAATGCTCCATGATTCAACCGACTCCTTCTATTCTCTCTTTTAGGATTCTTGAAAACAACATATTATTTTATAATATGTTCTTTCTTGAAACTAGTTTTGTCAAAGGGAGTATTTATTTTCTCTTTTGTGCACAAGCCATCTTTTCTCCACTCTTGCACATGTGTTTTGACAAAGCATGGGTTCTCTCTTTTCAATAGTTGTAGCTCATGGCACGGCTATTCCAATAGCATGTTATCCTCTTCATGACTATATATGCAGATTTCATATACTTTATTATTTTCTACCACTTGGACAGACCATGCTTAGCTTTATGTGTGTTGCTCCTTATTGGACAACAAATAGGTTGTTCATTCATACTGGTTTTCCAGTATCACTTTATAGGAACGGATTTGCTACAGTCTTGCCCTTCAAGATATTTTAGCCACCAAACAACATTCTTTATATTATACGTGGTTGGGTGAATGATTCCCTTTGTTCAAAATATCCCCTCTTCATTCGAATCAAAGTCTCTATATATACTAAGCTAGACCTAAGGAAGAGGTTGAGAAGTTTATTTGAACTTGCTTCATTTTTATCAGTTCTTTGAAGAACCATTCATGCTAGTCATGTAAAAACAGAAAATCGACATCTTAGATGCAGAATTGGTTCTAGTTTTTGAAATCATTTTATATCTGCTCTTGAGCATTCAAAAACTATTTTATTGTTTCAGCCATTGTTAATTACTTGAGAGTATGAGTATGATTGCATGCACATAAAATTCCTCCAAGTATATTCACATTATTGTTATGTTGATTTAAACTATATGCTTCAAGTTCATTACTTATAGTTTAATCATCACAACACTTGGTTTCATTTGTCTAGCTTAATCATTCTTTGTGATTAAGAAAGATGAAAATATGAAACCACAACTCACTTCATATCATTATACTTTCTGCAACTTAGAGCTTCGTGCTGTTGCAAACCATGAAGATTTGTTTGTTGCAATTAGAGCTGAATGCTCATGCAAAGACTGGAAGAGAACTTGCTGCTGAGAAGTAAAGTTTGTGCTTTTCTGGAAAGTTAGATAGTTAGCTGCCTATTATGTGTAGATGAGCTAATATTGTGCTTTGCTAAAAGGTTAGATAGTTAGCTGCCTACTGAGTGTAGATGGATCACAACTCCCTTTGTATCTTGTACTTCTCATTGATAGTGGATTCTCTTATTGGCTTGGTCCCCCAGTTTTCCCCCTTGTTGGGTTTCTGGGTTAAAAAATCTTTGTGTATGTTTATATTCTTGTTGTCATTAGTTGTACTTGCTGCATCTTGTTCAAATGACATCAGTACACTAACGTGGATCAATACGGCGTTGCACTGTATTGATCCAAAATCACAAGGGTTTCTATTTGTATTAATACGTGGTGTCATCTGTATCAATCCAGTTTCATGCAGTCAGTTCAGTTTACTCACTGCATATGCTAAGTAATTAAACACCATGGTTGTGCATGTGTTTATGTTTCTGCTTATTAATTCTTAGCTGGGCTTAAAATTTAAAAAGATAGGTTATTACTATATAGCCTACTTCACCCCCCCTCTGTAGGCTTTTAGAGCCTAGGGCCTGTTTTACACATCCGTACTTCTTCAAAAACAAAACTGAACCCACATTGCTCATCCTCTTCCACATTTCTACTAGCATTAGTAGTCCATTCCAAAGGTTCTCCGTGCCATGTCCAAATCTTATAGCTTTGGTCAATTCCATTAAAGTATAAGTGGTCCCTTATAATTCCAAGTCCAAACAATCGAATATTACCACATTTAACACATGGACAACGAATATGAGTTGTATTTAAAATATTTTCTACAGCAAAATTCAAAAATCCTTCCACACCTAACTCATATGCCTTCGATCTTCTATCCGCATGAATCTATGACTTATCCATCTCACACACTATAAAATCATACATATAATAAAGTGAAAGACCCAGCAATGAAACACTACTATATTGACAGAGAAGAGAACAAAGTGGGAAAAATGAAAAAAAAACACAATAATCAGACGACGGGTTGTACAAAATAATCAGACGACGGTATGTCTATTTAACATCGTCTTTAAGAAAACAACAAGATATCTGTATTCTTTTCGAAGAACAGGGCTGGGTTATGGTAGACTAACAATGACGGTGGTAGTAAATAAAAAGCCGACGTATAATAAAAAACCAAAGCCTAATTCTTCCATCCCCATTCCATTTCAAAGAACCCTTAACAGAACAGAATGCAAACATCAAAACATAAAAGAACCCATATATAGCTCCCAATCAAGAACCCATATATAGCTCCCAATCAAGAACCCATAGCTCCCAAAACATAAAAGAACTCATATTAAGAAACCAAAGCTGAGAGAATATACAAACTAACAAAATATTTAGAGAGATCTAAGAGAATATTGAGAGAGTGCTACGAGAATATATACAAACTAATAATAAGAGAATATTGAGAGAGAGCTGAGAGAATATACTTACATGGATATTGAGAGAGAGTTGAGAGAAAATATCAAATGCTTGAAAGAGCTCTGAGAATATACCCAATGCTTTGAGAGAGAGCTCAGAGAAAATACCCAATGCTTTGAGAGGAAGCGAAAACTTTAAGACAAATTTATGTTGAAGAGAGAGAAGGAAATACTTTAGGGTTAAATAGAAATTCGGAAAATTTTAGATCCCGGTCAAAAATTTCAAAGGACCGCATTTGTTAAAGATGACAGTAAATACAATCCGGTAATCGTTTTATTTCATATTTATAATGACGGTTATTTTACATTTACGACGTTGTATTATGTTTTGACGTCATCCATACAAAAACTGACGTCTAAAATATTAAAAACTTAGCTTTGGTGTGCATTTCCTGGGATTCAAACGTGCGTATTGACCAAAAAGAGCGAGAGCAAACCGGCGTCGTTTCAATAAAACCTAAACCCTAAACCCTAAATTTTACAATAATTATAAAAAAATACACAAGTATGAGAAAAATGAACCGAAAATTGCTATGGACTCCTTACAACAATGCCTTCTATATTATTAGGCTAAAATCTATTTTAAAGAATTTTCAATTTTATGACCACCAATGGATCACATAAACCCTAGGGTTATGTAATGGAAAGTATAATGACTATTGTGCTTTGTCTCTAAATCATTTTGACTTTTATTATCACTTCTAATTTTGAAATCTAAAATTAAAATTTTCAGGCATGTAAGGGGTAGATATTGTGTCAATGAGTGCATAGAATTAATCAGTTTATTTTTCAGATTTTTTATGAATATTTTTTGAATATTAGTAATTAAATACAAATAAAAATAATTTTAAAATTAAATTTTTTAAAGATTTAGGGGAGATAAAATCTTCCAATGAGTGCATAGTAGTTGTCAGTTTATTTTATGGAATTTGTTTTGAAATTATTACGAATATTATGAATTAAATATTAAATGTCATACAAAAATTGAATACCAGAGTACATAACCGACGTTGCATCAGTTTATAATGACGTTAAGTAATGCGTAACGTCATCCTAGTAAACATAAAACGTCGCAATGTAATAACCGACGTGTTTAGATATTTACAACGTCTATTACTATTCTGATGATGACGTTGTTTATGGATACAACGTCAGCATTTAACATGTAACGGACGTTGTATGTCTCTACAAATTTTTTCGTAGATTTCAGTTTTTTAAAGAAACCGACGTGTATGTCAACCTTAAATGTTGTTTTTGAGAAATGCCGTCGATGTTTTGTTTCCAACTATATATAAGTGACGTGTAAAGATGAATGAGACGTCGGATTTTGGGAATTAATTTACATTTTTATGATTTATTTTCATTTTAATTCATTTTAACACATTTATATTTTATTAAAAAAAATTAGAAACAACAATATATTTCATTTGATTTTTTTTTTTATGAATGTTCAAATAATTACTAAAAATATGTTTATATACTTTGTCAAAAAATTAAAATAAACCTAAATATTTTTAAATAAATGTATATTATCAATTATTGTTTTGTAATTGCTTGTTCACGAATTCTGCCCATACCAGCCTGACTTCGTCAATATGTTCTTGAGTATACACAACTGCTTCCTTTTTCTTGTCAAACTGCAAATAAAGAACAAAAACTGACGTGTTAGAAGTAATAAAACGACGGTTTTGAAAGCGAACGACATGGTATTAAATAAAGAAATTATACATTAAATTTTACCTTCTTCTCAAAGGCTAGGGCTGGATCATGAATTATATTTCTCATGAAACGCATCACGTAATAGCCACACTCTACATTTGTTGGTTGTCTAGGAGTGCCTTGTAGATTTTTCCATATGGGTGATTTACGTGATGATTGTTTCCCTGTGTGAGAGTTATACATTTTGATTGAACTGTATCAAGAAAACAAAAAGTGTTAATGACAAAACTATTAACTGTCGTGGTAAATAATTGAAGACAACGGTTTTGTAAAACAAATGACGTTGTATTTTATATACAACGTCGGAAAATAAGAACTGTCGTTGTGTTTCATTCTAACGTCGGTGACGAAGAAAAACGACGTATAACCAAAGTTAATTTTAAATGAAAGTTTAATAGAAAAATTTAAAAGTCCTAAAATTAAAAACAAAATCGACTTGGTATTTCAATTACGACGACGATTTCAAGAAAATAATGACGTTGTAAATGATTCAAAACGTCGGTTATAATATACCATCGTTGTGTTTTCACTACAACGTCGGTATTGGAAAAAGCCGTCGTATCAATCAAATGCATATATAAAAAATCATAGGTTTTCATTAAGAAACTTACGTATTCACTATATTTCTCATGTCCTCGTCAACAGAGCGGTTTGGCAATGAATTCATGTAATAGATAGTCTCTGTAGCTAGTCTCACAATTATTAACACCCAGTGACCCCTACACAAAATTATCCATATATATTAAATATACTACAAAAAAATATATTACAAGGAACCAATTAAGTGTAGAAGGGGACTAACCCTGGATTATAAGGCACCAAGTAAAATTGATCCCCATCTGCCTTTTTCAGGCTTTCTGAGAGATGTTTTGAGCTGTGAGATAACGTTCCAGATTGAGAGCTCACTTGTCCAGGGTCCACAAGGCCAACAAGTTTTACCATATTTGCCATTTTTAAATAGTCAAATAGGTACCTAATTAAATATATGAAATTCAATTAAATGAGATTTTAATTTAAAAGAAAGAAAATGAAAAAAAAACAAAATTGGATTTCTAGAATTACCTCATGTCTACTGCAATCACTGTGGCTCCAATCTCAACCATGGAAGCAAACTGTAAAATGTCTTTACTCAAGAGCCAGGTATCATGATCAGTGCCAAACATTTCCTCAGGCATGTGAATTGTAATGGTCTCGTTAGCCGGCTTCAACTTGGTCTCGACATATTGGCATAGGGCTAACAGAGGAGCTGGCATGTCAAGCTTTAAGAGATCCTGTAACAAGAAATAAATAAAGAAATAAAAGTTAGTGTGTTCATGAAGTAAAATAAACGACTTCAACAAATCAACAAAACCGACGTGGTATATAATATCAACGACGGTTTATCAACGACAGTTTCTAGAACATACTGACGGGGTAAAGGTTATAGACGATGGTAAATACATAACAGTCGTTGTTTAAAAGTTATAACGTCGCTACACAATAGAAAGGTCGTCTAGGTTAAACTAGATGACGGGTTTTAAAATAAATAACAACGTCTATTTAAAATTTAAAATTCAGAAAAAGCAAATGTCAGAGATTTTACCATTTCATCTTGATGGTTTTCAGCAACATCAGCATCAGCATCATTCATGGGATTGTCTTCATCCAATTTAGGGGCTTTCACATTAGAGGAGCTTGATTTGTCAGACATTGAATTTTTTGGGCTTTGCTCCTGAGCATGTTGGGATCAAAGTTGGAAATTAGTTGACTGAATTGTTTCAACATAATTTCCCTCTCTGCTCTAACTGGCTCCATAACACTTTCCTTTGCCCTGGCCACCATCTTTTTGGTTTCCTCTCTCACTGCTGCCATAACACTTTCCTTTGATTTGTCAGCAAATTTTACTCTCTGTTGTCTCGGAAAATTGAAGAATTGAGTTGGGGAAACCCCAGCTCCAACACCTCTGACCCTCCCACCATGCTCAGGTGTTCCCAAAGCCATGGTCAAAACATCGTTGCTCCCAGCTCCAACACCTCTGACCCTCCAATACCTTCACGACGTATATATTGGATCTCAGAAAAATCTATTCTATCGGCGGTTTTCTATATAAACCATCGTGGTTATTCTCAATTCTTGTCATTAAGTTGGTCTACCGTCGTAAGATACCAAAATCCAAGAAATAAATAGTAAAAAATAATGTAATTAAGACGACCATTTAGGTATAAGTGTAGACGTATAAAGTAAATAAATACGACGGTAATTTTAACTTCACGACGTAGTAAATTTTATTACACGGCGTTAATTGAACAAACAAACGTAGTAAAAAGCCTTTTGACATTTTGTATTCCGAAAACGACGTGGTTAGTTAGGCGCTACACGTCAAAAGTTTTTTTATATTGAACCGACGTGGTTTTCGAAAACCTCGTTGACTTAATGTTAATAACCAATGTTGTTTGTATGTTTAATACGGCGATTATTGAAAGACAAATGATATGTAATACTCTTTAAATGTATGTTGGTTTGTGTGTACGTCGTTGTTTATGGTTCACACGTCGGTTTTTTTTTTATTTTAAACGTAGTAAATATTAACCACGACGGTTTCTAGCTTATCCAAGTCTTTTTTCCTTCATTTAGAGACGTGGATAATTATTTGTATGTCGGTTCTTCTTTGGATCTTGACATGTAATAGTGTTTAGACATCTCCTTTTTCATAAAATCGTCGTCTAATGTTGTTGGAGATTTCATTTGAGGCTAATTATATAGTAATTACACGTCGGTTAGTAATAAATATGGACGTTGAATTCCTTAATAACGTCGGTTATTAACCGTCATTGTTGATAGTACAAAAGATGGTGGTCTATTTCATGACGGTTGGAAAACCTTCTACACAACAGTGGTTTCCCGTCGTCTATTTAGAAAATACATAAGAACATACTAACCCCACTGTAAAAAAGTTATGCTAAACTAAATCATTCTCTTCATTATATTCGTACTGAAATCAATGCATTCATGTATTTACATATATATGCCAATCATACTCATGGTCAACATTAATCTCTTAAAAACATTGAAATCAATTTATAACTACCACCTAGGTGTACCCCTCTATTTCCGTGAATTCCTGATATCTGTTAATTCCTTATATGCCATCAATTCCTCGTATCACCATAGGTGACATGCTCTCGTAGGTCTCCGTGACACAAGGTCAACCCGAGCCACAAACTCACAGGATTCAGGGGACATTAGTTAGCCTGATTCGTATTCCTCGCTCCGCACGAGTCCGAGTACCACAGAACTCGTGGGGCAACTGTCAAGCATGCTGACTGAACTGAAGGCAACCAATAAAATTCGAAGGCAACATATTTACCGAAGGCAACCAATTTATCTGAAGGCAACTTAAATACCGAAGGCAACATGTTTGTATCTGGGTACCTGAGGTGGCTTAAGAAAATATAAAACTCTGAAAGATCTGATAAATAATTGAATTTATGTTAAATCTAGAACTTTGCTGCCATTTATCTAATATTAAGCTAGAACTTCTTTTTCCTATATTCTTAAAGGATATTCCACTCGGCAGCATATAAATCAAAATATTTAAAAGCACATATCTAATTATGAAAGCACTAATCTTTGAATAAAACTTATTCAAGATCAAATAATGGAATTGAATTGCATAAATCATTTATAAAACAAAGAGTCCACTAACTCCTGGTCCGAGCTAGTTGGACCTCTTAAAGGTCCTTCCTGTGGGTTGGTCCGGGGCGTGTGCCTGATTAAACCATCATGAATATTTTATAAATAAACTGCTTGGTATAATATATAACCCTAATTAAAACCCTAACCCCCGGCTCCCAAAAGTGCGTGCACAACTTTAAAGTCATTCCTATGCCCACAAAAGCTTTCCTTACATTTGGAATGGTTTAGAAGTGCCTCGAGACTAAAAAAAAGGCTAAAGTCCCAAAAAGTCAACTCGGGACCTCGTGGGCCCACGACCTCTAAATTTCGATATGGAAGCTCCTAGAGGTTCCAATATACCTAGGACACATGTCCCGAGAGTTTGATCTCGATCAGATGGCCATATTGACCATGATCGTACAATTGGATACTTATTGTAAACCTAACCCTAGGGTTGACATTTTCGGAGTATCTGGGACTCCGATTTACGATCCGTCGACTCCTATACAATCCTAGGATTATCTAGATCAACATATCCAAAAATGAAGTCGATCCAATGGTCCAAACATATCGAACCTGGATATCGCCTAATATGTGATATCCGATCGACGACCAAACGGCAACTAAATTGGAATATGAGCATACCATCGTGCTCGAAACGACGTGGGGAACATTCTAGGACAAAGACCCAACCTAGACATCCCGCCGACGCGCCGCCACCGCCACCGGGTGTATTGAGAAATTTTCAGGCGATCGGAAAACTCCAAACCACCGGCCAATAATCATACCTATGGATTAAGCACATCAAGAGGAGTAACTTTATACCTTGGTTATAGCTTAACTTCAAAAAATTTACGATTGTGCCACTGAACTTCTTTTGATCTTAACTTCTTCGTTATAGCTCCAATTGGAGCCCACTACATGTCTACGGACTCGTTTCGTCGAGCTCTACTCAACAATGAAATCGAAATTCCCAAATTCTTTCTTGATAAAAAACTCAACTTTCCTCCAATAAACTATTCTAGGGGCAAAATTGTCTTTCCCTCTGATAAATTAATAATTAAATATTATTTAAGGACCAGTTGTTACAGTGTGTATATATATATATATTGGTTATTAAGTAGCTTTAAATTTATTTATTTTGTACGTATAACACTTAAGAAATTGAATAGTATATATATTTATTAGTAACTTTAAACTTATTATTGTAGTTAGGATTGGGTTTTTGTTAGAAAAAGATATTATTGTGGGTTTTATGTAGAAAAAAAAAATGAATTTGAAGGGAGTAAAGTCACATTTTCAGTAAAATTTATAATAATAATTTTTTTAGAAAAAATTATAACAATGGGGTCATTATGCAAAAACCAATAGCATGATTTCATAATGTAAATATGCGTCGGGCAAACCAATTAATTTATATTTAGTTGTTTTCATAAGTTTTTATTATGTTTTGAAAACTTTGCTCAACGAATGTCGATATTTTGTCGCCTAACCCTTATTCACTTATTCACTTATTTTCATATTTTTATTGTTAAAATAAATTATTTATTTATTATTTATTATTTTCTTTGCGTGACGAAAACACATTTGGTCGCCTTAACCTTATTTATATTTTTAATCATAAAGTAAAATAATTTTATTTATTTTTTATTCATAACAATTATTTTTATAAATATTGCACTACGAACCAATTTTTCGTTGCGCGACCAACAATTTGTCGCACAAGACTTTGCGCGACCAACGGTTCATCGCGCAAAACTCTAAAAATTTGAGCAAGTGCCTAAAAAGGGACGCGGGAATTTTTTGATTGCGCAAAACTTTGAGCGACCAACAACTCGTTGCGCAAAACTCTAAAAATTTGGGCGGGCATAAAAAATGGGACGTGGGAAATGTTTCTTTTAAATTTTTTTTTTTAAGACTTTGCGAGACCAATATTTCATCGGGCAAAGTGATACGGTTTTTAAAACCAAAATAACTCCACCATTTTATCAATATCTTTCTCTACTCTTACCTCTCCTCTCTCTTTCCCTCTCCCCAAATCCGACCCTTTCTCTCACACTTACTCCTCTCACTTAATCTCTCATCTCTCTCTTCACTATCTCTCACTCTCACTCACTCTCTCGTCTCTCTTTTCACTATCTCTCACTCTTACTCACTCTCTCATCTCTCTCTCTCACTATCTTCTCTAATTCTCTCACACTCACTTCTCCCTCTCATTCTCACTCACTCTCAATCTTGCCAAAAGGTATATTCTCTCCAAATTTTAAATTTTTTTCATTAATATGTGTTTTTGGAGTTAGTTTTGACTTTGTGTGGGGTTTGGGTTGAGTATAGGGTGAGGATTGGAGTTTGGGTTGAATTTTTTGTTATTTTTTTGTTATTTGACCATATTTGTTTTTTTGTAGGGAATCGTCAAAACTTTGATGGCTAAAGTTGAGGATTAGGATGCTATCAAAACATATCCTCCGCCACTACCACCACAATAGGCGTGTATTAGGATTTTATTATTGTACTTTGTTAATTTATGTGTACATTTTGAATATTAAATATATATATATTTGTTGGATAATTTGATCACTATTTTTCATATGTCAATTTAAATTAAAGTAATTAAAAAAATCATTCAATTAAATTACATTTAAAAAGTAAAAATTGAAAAAAAAATTAATATAAGAGAAATAATAAAACAAAAAGTCGAAAACCTTGTGCGACAAAATATTTCGTCGCGCAAACTATTAAATTAATTTATTTGAATTAAAAAATTTTAAAACACAAAAAATATTTCGTCGCGCAAGTATTTGTGCGACGTTAGTATTCGTTGTGCAAGGTAGATTTGTGTGACGTTAAGGTTCATTGCGCAAAGTAGCTCTGTGCGACGAAGATTCGGTTTCATTGCACAAACCCTATCTTCACAAGATTTGCGTGACGGATCATACGCGACCAAAATTTCGTCACGCAGGTTTTGCTCAACGAAATTGTACTTTGCTAATCCCAACGTTACGACCGTGTTTTCCATAAATATTATTGCCAGACATGTTGTGGTTTCCACCCGTCCTTGCTTGATCACCACCTCTGCCTTTTTTGTTGTAAGCATTGTGAATCCCAACATTTGTGGTGCTTCCAATTGCAGAGATACTATTATTATTAATGTTGAAAGTCTCGTTGCTTTCATCAGCTTGTTCAGTTCTTTCTCCTTGGGGATCTTGTCCAGCACTACAACAAAAATGTCTTTTTATGACACAAATTTAATGACGCATCGAAAATCCACGTCATTAAATGTAATAAACTATGACGTGTTTTTAAAATGCGTCATTGACGTAAGTTTA